GAGAGAGAGAGAGAGAGAGAGAGAGAGAGAGAGAGAGAGAGAGAGAGAGAGAGAGCGCTGCGGCTGCGAGCTGATACCCTCTGCTCCATCTCCCGGCCCTGTGCAGGCAGGCATGCCTCTCATATCTCCCTTGCATTACAAAGTCGGATCACTGTAAAATATCCGTCCTACAAAGAAATTCTTCATACTGAAAAAGCCGAGGGGTCGCCAACTTGCATAATACTCCGTACACGGGTCTCATAATACCTTTACAATCACAAAATACACCAAAATAGCCCCATAATACCTCATAGCATAGCACAGCCCTCGTGGTGACAATGCGGTAACAAGTGGCCGGCCCCTGGCCACGTGTTCTCCTCAAACAGTTCACGCTGGCCACGTGTTCTCCTCCTACAGTTCACGCTGGCCACGTGTTCTCCACCTACAGTTCACGCTGGCCACGCGGCGCTTACTCCAACGCTCACCGCACCCCCGTCTGTTCCAGGTGGCGGCCAGGGCGACGTCAGCGTTGTCCGGGTGGGAGCTCAACGAACAGGGCGGTGAGTACAGGCCAATATAGCCAGCTGGGCACCTCCCTGTAAAAAAAAACAACCAAATATAACGTACTGCAACAGTTAAAAACTGGGCCAAAGGCATTTATACTATGCCTTGGTATATGGCAAAGGGAGAACACTATTCGTAAATAAGAACTACGGAGACTCTTTACGACACTATAGTCCAACGTAAGGATCATCCAGAAAGTACGTCCGGTTTCCTCAGATTTTTTCGGCACATTACAGAAGCTCGGCGCCTGCAAGATTCAAGGTAGGCCAACCCGCCCTACACATATGCACCGTAGGCAAGATGTTGCCTACCTACCAGGCGCCAAGAGAGCTTGCAAGGGCTGAAATGAGCAGATTCGCTACGGAGAATGACGGACGTACTTTCTGGAGGGTCCCGTATTTTCAAAGGCGTTTCGTCAAAGAGCTGCATTGATGCCTGATCATTCACTTTGTATTTTAATGGCTAATCGGCTAACTTTTCAGAGCGGTCATTTTCACAGCGTGGACTGTTTTGTTTGGGTTGCAGCGCCCGTGGCAGCCGCGCTCAAGCAGCGGGCCCCGCCCACCACCACGACCACCACCACGCCAAAGCCCCATGACGAGGACGACGAGGACGACGAGGACGACGAGGAAGATGAGGAGGAGGAGGAGCAGCACTACGAGGACGAGGAGAGCGAGGATGCCGACGACGAGGACGAGGACGACGAGGACGAAGACGAGGACGAAGCCTACCAGGAGGACATGCAGGCCCTCAAGCCGTCCGACGTCGACCGTCAGCTGCTGCTGTTCAAGAGCGAACTCGAGTGCCCGGACCCTGACTACGACAAGATGAAGGTGCGTGGTACAAAGTTGAAACGATGTTAAAGTTGCCCCCTCCAACCGGGCTAATGTCACCCAGAAGTATAACATTCAGCATGACCCCTCTCCCAAAACAAGCGCCAAAAAAGTACGTATCATCAGTTGACGTGTATGCGCGTGTATGCCAGCTAAACGATGCATGCTTCACGCCCCCCCCCCCGACACCTCCTGGACCCTACCTCTTCCTGGCGAACTCATTTCCCGCTCGTAGCCCCGTTGCCGGGAGAGGTCGGCGAGTTTGTGCGCGCGGCCAGATGCGAGGATGACGCTTTTCTATCTCTGGTGATCCCCCGTCCTCCTCTCCCCCTCCTCCCCGGGATGGTGGTGCATCTCTGTCCTGGTGCCCTTTGTGCATCACAAAGAGGCCTCACCCCCTGGAAAGCCTTGCTCGCTGCAGTAGCGGATGAGATTCAGGACGACTTGGCTCGGCTCGGCCCCGTCTGGAGCAGCAGCAGGGCCACTCGAGGTCCTTCTTGTCCTTGTCGCGGCCCTGGGCGGGGTCGGGCCCGGGCGGGCGGGACGCGCGGCGGCCGCGTCAGGCTCGAGAGGGGCGAATTGGGCGGAATAAAGGAGCGCGTGTCTCCCGCCTCGCCCGGCCCC